TGAAGAACAATTCACTATTCCTGCTATATACTTAAGAAGCTTACAGTACAAAGTGGGGCAGTATGGTTTTATACTCAGTAGCTACCCTGAAATTACTATGAACAAAAGTTAATATAAAAAGAAGAATTACTATCCAATTATCTAGTTATTGACATCACGGTTGCTGAGTCCAGACAGTAGTGTACCAAAACAGAAAACCATGTTACCCAGCTAACAAACTGCAAGGCCATGCACAGAGCCACATGGCCTGAGGGTCTAGTCACTAAGTAAAATCTCCCCCGTGGGCTTAATTTTCCACCAAACAGGATCTTGATTTTTTGGACAGAGAAGCCTTCATGAGCCCAGACATGCTCTAGTTTTCACTGAGATTCATTTCCCTGGTTATGTGCTAATTCATCTCTTTCTGGATATCTGTTAATTACATCTTATGCAAGAAGTTAATCTTCCCATTCAAGTTTCTCAGCCTGCTATTTTACTATTAGCATGCTAATGTCCCACAGTCAGGAGCAGGAGGTCTTCTTGTGTCCAGATCATAGCAAGAACTGGCCAACAACCTTCCCAAACCTTATTAAAAACAAATAAGTGTGTCCTGAGACACTTGGTTGTAGAATCAAATATTGATTTCATGTGAAGGTATATACTAACAATCATAACTTAAAAATAGAAACATTGCTAAGACATGTAATTGATTACTAAACACTACATATGGCAGTAAACAATGTTTGAGTGGTAAATAACCCCTACTGCGGGCTTTGACAGTGTCTGTTGGACTTCTCTCATTCAAAGGCCATTTAGACATTAAATTCTTGGGCCAGGTTATGTGTGGGAGTTCCTGGGCAAGGTTTATTTCTCCAGCAAATCTTTGTCTCAGTAAAAATTCTGATTTTGTTCAGGAACTCCAGATGTTATGTTGCCCAACGGTATTGGCTGCTCCAGCTATGAGAGTTTGCACCTTAACATTTTTGATAAGTGAGCTATCGTTACGTATGCACCGAACAACTGTGATAATCCCTGTGTATGATGCCTAGGGATGATAAATTCAGGAAGGGCGAGCCTGATGCATCGTGAGTTTTGTGCACACAGCAGCCATATGCATGTGCAGAACACAAACTCGCTCTTCTCCTGTGCAGGGCAGGAGTCTATTTCCACACAGGATTTCACTACCCAGGCATAGCTTCTCAGTGTGGTTATCAGGTACCTAGATGCTGTCTTAGGTGTCTTGAACTGACCTGCAGGTGTCTGTGGCATTTGCCAATGCTGTTCACAGAGTTAGTTTCAGCACTATGTCCACCAGCGGTTTCACGTGTGAGGAGCTCTCAGGGCAGGGCCCATAATCAACCCCTCTTTTCTGAGGTCCGTGCCTGTGTGACTAAGAACCACATCTCATTCATATTTTTTCTCACGCTATAAAAATCTTGAATTATTTGTGCACAGTGACAAGCTGCAATAAAAGGGAAGGAGGACTAGCCTTCAGATACTGAGTCTTTCTTCTTCCCCAAGGGGCTGAAATTGCGTATCCAGGAAAGTACTCCAGTCCCAGTATCCTGGCCGTGCAATTTCAACCCCCTGGGGAATAAGGCAGACTTTTTTTTTCTGGATTAGCCACTTGCAAAGTGATTGGTCTAACCACATTAGTGATAGGGTTTACATTGGAGAGGGGGCGCTTAACAGCATCTGCAGGCATATTTTATAGGAACATGAACAGTTCTTTGAAAGAAAGAGAAAAACTCTCTGCTTTCAGGAGAATGGAAATGCCTCCTTACAGCTCTGTGTAAGGTACAGGGAGGGGATTCAGACTGCCATCAAGATTGGTTTGGTTCATAACACATCTCCCCCAAATCCCCTGAGCATACTGCCTGCCCTTGTTCACACACTGCCTGTCCCTGTGCAGGTCCCTCCCAGGCCGCATGGTGCAAGTCACAAAATTACTGATTCTGTGGATATAGAGGTATGAGGAGAGAGGGGGCAAAAACTTACAAATCTTGCCTTCCAGTACCCATATTCAAAGTAATTTTAAAAACCATTCATATTCAAATGGAGTGTTTTTAAAAGACAGATTCATATTTTAAGTCATGTGGGCTTCATTTTGAACTTGAGAAACTAAATAAAGGACAAAAACTTGTGTGGGATTAAAGCAAGCATTTTTTATGTCAAAATACAGAACTTTTATATTAGTAAATGTGATCAGGAAAGTTTTATTTACACAAACAAAATATGCATATCTACCTCGATCAGCAGCTGGCGTCAGACTGATGAAGCTTCTACATTTCTCACCTAAAAAAAATAAATTTATTTTAAAATAAAATTCAGGATTATTTTGTATTCTGTAATGATCTAAAGAAATAGATTAATAGAAAGCAGAAAATGCAAAATCTATCACAAAAGCACAAACTGAGATGATCAGGAGAAACTATTTCTGGTGGTATGTTTGTACACAGAGAGTCCCTGGTACATTGACCTACTCCTGGGTCTTAGCTAGAGAATCCTTCCAGACTTTTTCAAGGCAGAACCAGAGTCTGGGAGACTTAGAGAAAGGCTATGAATTAATTTCCAAAAGGTTGTAGCTGTGAAAGCCAGAATGGGAAAATGATCAATTCCTTTGAAAGACTGGCAGCCTGTATACCATTTTCCCTGTGAAGGAAGACCTGTTCTCCTTACAGCAACAAGGCTGCTGCTCACACAAATTTCTTCTAAGCTTGATTCCAATTTCCTTCTGTAAGCTTTGATTTTCAAACCCATGTGACCTCCTGACCCCCACACAGATGCTGTGAACAAAGCTCTCAGAATTAATTCTGCTCTGCTCTTTGAAAATACAAGGTGGTTTTTTTCAGCTACTAACTGCACCAAGTTGGAAAACAAGAACTGCCATAGCAGATGCACAAATTAAACAACCCCAGTATCCATAGCAATCACCGCCTGAAAGATGTCTTTTGGAGATGTATTTTGCTCTGACCTTTGACATTTACCCCCTTAAAATTGCATAACTTACAAGACCTTCTGGTAGAACCGAACTTTCAGGACAGGTGACTGCTAAAATATTTGCATTTTATAGCACGGATGACAGCTGATTTGATTTCTCTGAAGTTTTATTCTAGTTGTCATTTGTAAACTGATCAGGACAATAAGGGGAAAAACTTAGTGTTGACCTGGATTTACAATAAATGCCTTATTTCTTGAACCAGCTAAGCAATTCCCTTATACAAAGATCCAAAATTAACTAGAAGCTTTTTTTAATGGAAAGCTAATTTCATTCTGCTGACATTTACATACGCAGAGTAAAACTCCATTAAATGCCACCACTCAAGACTAGTAAGACTCCAAATTATGTTTTAGCAGGGTGAAAATAATCTTCTTCTGCTTTGATTTATGAAAGGTGAGATTGCAGCAAGAAAGAAGAAATACCTGTGCTTAAGAGGAAATCCATGAGATAACTTAGATCTCACAGATTTAATTGCTCAAATGATTTTTAAAACAAAAAAATCACATTGGTTTTTTTATGTTGCCATAGGGGGTAGTAAGCAATCATTTAAGGCAAATATGTTCATTTTTGCCTAAGGGACTAAAAACATCAGAAAAATAAAACAATTTCCTGTTAAAGTAACTTAACTTGCTGCTCTGGTTAGGAGAATTAAAAAAAAAATCTTAATCTGTACTACAACCTGTCATTCTAAAGTTCTTTTCAGAATTTATTAGGAATATTTTAGGAATTGACTAGATAGTACCCTCTAAGATCCCCCTTCCCAGAGAAGAACAACTTTTTAAGGATCCTTTTTCCTTTAAAATCCATACATGATATTGCAGCAAATAGGAAGGTGAAACCAAATAAGTAGGAAGATCTGTAATTACTTTCTTAAGTAAATTTACATGGTTTTACTCACCTTTTTCATTTATAATTTCTTCACAGGAATACCAAATCCCAGCATGAAACTTTCGGTCAACGAACTTGTCATCTCCTGTCTCCCAAACATACTGCACAGCATTGCTGTTGTTGGCATCGGGGCTATTAAAGTGAATGCAGTGATCCCCTTTGGTCTGTCCTGTACAGAAAGGTTTGGCAACTTTTCTCATCCCTTCACACCAGTAACTGCTACTGAATGCTGTAATAGAGAAGACTAAAGCGAGAAAACTGAGAGAAAATGCTGCTGAGGATCTCTGCCATCTGTCTGCAGCTGGGACTGAAACTGGCATCCTCCAGGACTGCACTATCTATTATTCTAGAAACAACCTTTTACAAAGCTGTGTATATATTTGCCTGGTGAAACACCTGCATGTATTTACCATCCCATTCTTCATTCCTCTCAGAAAATTGTACCAGCTTAGTAGTTAAGACAGAAAGCAGAGATATGGGCATGACCAGAAATCATGTGGCAGAAGAGATTAAGGATATAGGACAGTGTTGTTCAGCAGTAATGTCTCGTGAAAGAAATATGAGGAGGTAGGACAATAAATTATAGTTTGCCCCATGAATCACAGGAGTAAAGATACACAGAACACAGAAGCATTGGAAGTACCCCAGTATGTGATCAGAAAAATTTTATTTATACAAAAAAAATGCATATTTACCCTGATCAGCAGGTGGAGTCTGACTGATGGAACTTCTCAATTTCTCAGCTAAGAAATAAATAAAATCTTGCGGTTCCAAATGCTCCTGTTACACTGAACACTGATTTAATTGAATACAGTTGTGGATCTTACTATAAAGAAATTCTTAAGGAGATAAAACCAGTTGCTAAGTTAGAGCATTTCACAGCATTGCAGCACTTCCCAAGACCACTGGGAAGGTGATTGCATCTGTTCAAAGTTCCACCAGTGACACTTGAAAGCCATAAGTTACATGACTTTGCTACTGATGGGCTTCTGGGTACTGTCCAGTCTGCCTCCATGAACACACAATCAAAGTCTTGCCCAAGTTAGGAGGAACAGTAGAGAAAAAGCTGAATTATCCTCATTTTGTCTGTCCATCTGTTCTCTCTGTGAAATAGCACTTTTTTTTCCTTCATCTAAGAAACATTTCCCACCTTGACATGTTATATATGTCGCTTTTTCTGTGTGTTTGATAATGCAAGTAAGTGATGCAAAGAACCAGAAGGAGCAGGAGTAAATGATTGCTTCATTTTACAACTGTAAGGTCAAAACACATGCCCTAAGGGAAAGTGATACCACAGGACAGACACTGAAGTCACATATGTATCTTTTGATGTGATTTTTAAGACAACTCTCTACCCAGAAGATGTCAGGGTTGGAGAAGCATATAGCTAGACAAGTCCCAGCATGAAACTCAAAGAAACATGATAAATGCCTGCTTTCGACTGTTACGAAGATCTCAGCTTGAAGAGCTGGCCAGCAACAGAGTGAAAGACCAAGCAGGTATCTGGACTAAAAAGGCAGAGCAAACCTCACAACCCAAAAAACAGTCTGTAGATTGAGCCAGGAGTTATTTTTTCCTACAGCTTTGTGTTACTCTATTTTCACAAGGATGTAGCACTTGTGAACTCCACTTGAAGCCTCTGTGCATTGACACTGTTTCTGGAGAGCATTACCAATCGCTCAGCAAGTCTGAGAACAGGATTGGTGGGAGGGAGGGAGGGAAGGAGGGAGGGAG